ATCATCTTTATACGTACCATTTTAGCACTGGTATTGGAAAAAAAACTAATTATACCCAACCCAAGAGAGAGCATGTGTCTCAATGAGTGATGTTTAAATGCAGAAACATAAAGAAGATAATCTGTACACAATCCGACTGACCACTTTGCTTTCGCTGTGACTGATGAATTCCTTCAGCTGTTTGAGGGTGGCCAGCCTGCGGTCGCGATCATCTTCCCTGGAGACTCGGCGCAGGAGGTTGGCCAGCCGAGACTCCTCTGAGTGAGCCATCCCTCTATCTACAATAACATGCGATCAACAATGCACTGACACTCTCCATCACATGCTGCATGTTTAACATCACATATACCCTGACATGAGGGAATAGATTTAGCTATGAACTAAAATTCTGAACTATAAATGGCTTAAGTTGATAGATACTAGTGTGGCATTTAAAACAAAAAAACAGTCACTCCTGTTTCTGTTGTTATTCCTCAGATGTGTTTACACTTCATATCAGACATTTGTTTGTTACCTTGATAGAGAGCTACCACACAAATGGTTAAAGTGACAAAGAAATGACTGTAGTCTGTCAGTAAGAACAGCCTGGATATGTAAGAGTAACTAAATTCTATCAACATATCTTATGCCATCTGAATACTGCAGCCATTGCTGTTTTCACTAGCTCATGTTAGAGTACTGAATGTTAGTAAGAGCTTACCCTGCGATTTCTTCATGTCCTTTGAAGCTAAAGCACGGTTTCCATGCTGAAAAGGAGTCAAATCTGGTGTCACGTCATTGGGCCTCAACTCTTGCCCCACCGACTTCCAACCAAACGTATTATCACAGACACCTTGACCAGCTTCATATCCACCTATAGGAAACCATAACAAACCATGTTGGATTAGACCAATTTATTACACAGAAAGCATCATTTATCAGCATTTCTAGAAACATTGATAATTCCTGAGTTGGCTTTGTCTAATAAATATTTTCCAATGTTCAAAAGACACCACAATCATATTCTGAGTTATTCAATAATGAATTTACAGTAACAATAACAATAAATACGGTGCACATAATGATTAAAAAACAACATAAAACAAATTCTGCCAGTAGAAATGATTACTATGCTTATTTTTTGGCAGCTTTTCTTTATTTATTCTGTGTTCTATTGATGAAGCCTATGAGTGTTTTCTTAATTTACTATAATTATTAGAGAAGATGCTTTCGGTCATTTTAGACATTTCCATGAACGCAATAATGTCACTGCAGCAAATAACATTAACCAGCAAAACTTAAAAACTGTTAGAACGTTGACAGGACATATAAAGTCCTCCTGTATGAACCTGGACTATGTGTGGGAACTTCTGGAGGTGGAAATTAACAGACCATTAAGTAACATCAGATGCCCTCACCGTGTCGGAGATGTCGGTTATGCTGCTGTGCCTCGTGCGCAAATGTGCACAGCCTATCTCTTAATGGGGAGAAACTTCCCTACCCTAACTTAGTCCCAGTCCAGCTGCTATTAATCACAATGTTATCATAATTTTAATAACCCAACCGGTCAGATCGATCTCAGTGCTGCGTTTTTAACTGGTGATAATGTTTGTTAAACAGGTAACAGGCTGCTGCTCTGGCACTGTTGACTGTGTGTCTTTATTAATATTAGTACAGTTCCTTTGTGTGCAGATACAAACTGCATCAAAAGTCTCTGCTGCTGTTAAAGCCGACTGACAGCTGATCCTGCTGTGATCAGCTGTTGCCATCATCATAAACGGACGTCGCTTCATGTGACACTTTCGAGAAAAGGACATCTCAATTATCTAAAACCATATTTCTTCTTTCCTACTTTCCTTTATCTGGTTTTCTTGCGTGTTAGTACCTCCCACCATGGATACATGTAAAGTGAGGGAAATGTGGATGCAATTAAGCGACATGAGTCCATTGACAGTATGTATAATGGACAGCTTCCGGGTCTGAAAAGTAAAGCCAATGTGGAAGTGTCTTAAAACGGAGAATGAGCCGACTTGTCACTTCATTTATTAGCTAATTTATTTCCTAATGGCAAATGGTCTGTACTTATATAGATATAGATACATTCACATACATTCACCCTTTCACACATTCACACAGTGATGGCAAAGCCCATCGAACAGAAACTAACTCATTCATTCTAACGCAGATGCACAGCACGGAACAATCCCCAACAGGGATTGAACCAACAACCTTCCGATTAGTGGACGACCCGCTTCTACCTCTTAGCCACAGTTATCCAGGTGATGAGTTTCTGGTCTCAATCGCTAGTTTCAAGTCTTCAATACATTATGATGTTCATTTAGTAAATTATGGTCCAGTTTAGACTAAAATAGAAGATAAAGTGGCATATGCTTTTGGGCGGGGCAACCTTATGATAGACAGGTTATTCTCAGTGGGTCTGTCCAGTGCAGCACACCAAACTCAACTGTCAAACTAGGCAGTGCAGATTAAATACGAAGCAAGATTCTGGCGAGTCGCCATTGTTTCCTGCTATGAATGAGTTAAAACCGCGTAGCCAATGATCAACACGTAGTACGTCACATCCACTGGCCCACGCTGGCTCCGTCTAAATGTCATGGCTGCATCCAAAACGCCTAATTCGAGGCTTCAAAGAGGAACTCGACAAACGAATGGGTGACATAACAATAAGTGCACACTTGCATGAGATCCACCTATAGTCATGCTCTTGTACATTTGTAATTTCATAACAGGGGTCACACAATGAAATGTAAATTGTAGTACGTTCATGCTACACACAAAGTACTTGAAGTGAATGAATGAGTTAGTTTCTGTCGCGGATCCGAGAGACAGAACCGTGACACACTCGCTCCCTGGACTGTTGAGCTCTCGTTAA